GTGTTCATCAGGGATATCGGCCTGTAATTCTCTTTCTTTGTGGTATCTCTGTCTGCTTTTGGTATCAGTGTGATATTTGCTTCGTAGAAACTGTTTGGAAGTGTTTTTGATATTTCAATTTCGTGGAAAAGCTTAAAGAGTATTGGGAGTAAGTCCTCTTTAAAGATTTGGAAGAATTCACTAGTGAATCCATCCGGGCCAGGACTTTTGTGCTTGGGGAGACTTTTTATTACCTTTTCAATTTCCTTGATGGTGATAGGTCTGTTCAGGTATTCCAGGTCTTCTTGGTTCAGCCTTGGGAGTCTGTAGGAGTCTAGGAATTTATCCATTTCCTCGAGGTTTTGATGTTCCGTGGCATAAAGCTTCTCAAAGTACTCCCTGAGGATCCTCTGAATTTCTGTGGTTTCTGTTGTAATGACCCCCTTTTCATTTCTGATTCGGTTTATTAGGGTTTTCTCTCTCCCTTTCTTTGTGAGTTTTGCTAGAGGCTTATCGATCTTGTTAATTTTCTCAAAGAACCAGCTCTTGGTTTCATTGATCTTTCGGATTGTTTTTTGGGTTTCCATCTCGTTAATCTCTGCTCTGAGTTTTATTATTTCCTTTCTCCTGTTCGGGTTGTGCTCCTTTTTTTGGTCCTTCTCCAAGCTCTTAAGCTGTGACGTTAGGTTACTTATGTGTGCTCGCTCCTCCTTCCTGAGGAATGCTTGTAGAGCTATAAACTTTCCTCTTAACACAGCCTTTGCTGTGTCCCATAAGTTTTGGTAACTCGTGTTCTCATTTTCATTCGTTTCTAGGAATCTTTTGATTTCCTCTTTGATTTCCTGCCTAATCCACTCGTTGTTCAATAGTGCACTGTTTAATTTCCAGGTGTTTGATTTAGTTTTCTGTTTTTGTGTGTGATTTACTTCTAATTTCAGCGCATTATGGTCTGAGAAGATTGTTGATACAATCTCTACCTTCTTAATTTTATGGAGGCATGTTTTGTGGCTCAGCATGTGGTCTATCTTGGAGAATGTTCCATGTACGCTTGAGAAGAATGTGTATTCAGCTTTTTGTGGATGAAGTGTCCTGTATATATCTACTAAGTCCCTTTCTTCCATTGTTTCCCTCAAATGAAGTATGTCCTTGCTAAGCTTGAGTCTGGTTGATCTATCAAGAGGTGACAAAGCAGTGTTGAAGTCTCCCACTAGTATTGTGTTGCTCTTGATGTCTTTTTCCAAATCTATGAGTAAAAAGATTCTTATACTTTTAGATGATTCTCTTTAATGACTTAATGATTTAATAATAACTTGGATATTAGTTATGCTTTAAATTCTTGGTATGCCATTTTCAATGACTCTGCTTCACATGGTTTATATTTTGTTGTTTTATTTTTACAGTGTCTGTCTAGCTTATCTTAGGTCACGTTCCTGAGGGAAATCATCAGCCCATGGGGACAAAGACTAAATAAAGACCAGCAACTGTGTGTGTGTGCGCTTTCAAGTGCAGTTAAGAAAAGAAAAATGAGCATCAGGCTGGAGGACAGAGAGCGAGCCCCACAGAAACCAGTTTTGATTCTCTGTTTGCTGTTATACTGGGGCAGCCTGGAATCAGTCTTCCTCGTTCCCCAAAAATTCTCTGGAAAGACAGTCTCTTGATATTTTAAACAACCAGCAGGGATGGTTGCTGAGGGAATGGTGGAGGAGGACGTGCCCCAGGGAACAGGGCGCACAATTTTCATTAGCTCCTCTCTTGCAGGGCTGTGTGTGCTATTCTGATATTGCGATGTTGACAGCAGATGGCAGGGCTTGTTGATGCCAGCTCTGAGGCCCTGCACCAAGCAGCCATATTCCCCAGACCAAGTGTAGTTAAAGTCATGAGGCTTCCCAAAGCTGCCTCAGTGCCAGCGTGACTGCACCTGACCCCCTCACTCTCCAGTTCAAGATGCCATCAACCTCTTTGCACCAGTTCATGACAGGCTCTGGGTTTCTCAGAAGTTTGTTTTGTTCTTTGTCCGACTTAGGTGTCTCCTTATCATGGTTCTTTTGGGAGACCAGTGATTTTGCTCCTCAAGTACCTTTAAGATCCTCTCTAATTTGACTCCAGTGTGCCAGAGATTTAATAAATACTATTTTTCATTCTTACAATTCTGAAAGCAAATTATTGCTCTTTAAATTTCAAAGAGGCAGGAATAGAGGGACTGAAGAGATAGTCCAGTGGGTAGGACGCTTGCCAGCGTGTGGCTGGCCTGGGTTCTATCTCAACACTATATGGTATCCTAAGCCTGCCAGGAGTGACCCCTGAACTCAGAGCCAGAAGTCAGCCCTGAGGACCACTGGGTGTACCCCACTCCCCCCAAAATGTCAGAAATTGAACCTCAAGGATATTGTGATTTGCCCAGAGTCACATCCTTGGAAATGCCGTAGAGCTACAATTTGAAAACACAGCCAGGCTTTTGATACACAACCAGCCTTACCTGATTAAGGCCTAAATTTAGAGCTGCTTCACTTTGTTCAAGAAGTTCTTAAACAATATCTGAAAGTACAAATGTTCTGTAAGCTGGACTATGGTATTCATCAAAAAAAAAAAAGTAATCTCACAACTGAATGTTCCTCAATTCTACCTTATTGATAGAATTTTCTATAGATGGAGTGTCATAGTTGCTCACAAACTTTTACTAAATCTGAAGTATATAATGATTATTGTGTGCCAGTGATCCTAAAAGGTAATACTTAAATAAAAATTTGTTTTCACATAAGGGCCTTCCCAGTGGTCCCAGGGACCCGTTGGACTGTCTGGGTTCTCATGGTACAGCAGCCTTTGTGCATGTAAGCAACACACTCTACCCCTGTGAGCTTTTTCTCTGACCATGAAAAGAATTCTGAGCTGCTGATTTCAATTAAAAATCAAAAAAATGTTATCAATTGATATTTTTCCTATTTACTTAGAAGACTGTTATTTGATACAGTTTATAAACATATATCATGTAAATATTAGACTATTTCCATTCTGGCTTTAATTTATACAATGCTTAAATATTGAACTAAATTCATGAATACTTAGCAATATGGATTTAACATATTTCTTCTAGTTATAAAACCTTTGTTACTTAAAGGCATGGTTTAAAACTAAAATCTATTTTATAATATCTGATCTTTGCATACTGTGCAAAATTCAAAAGGTAAAGGTAAAGGTCCTCCCGTTGATCATCTATTTGCTCGAGTGGGCCCAGTAACATCTCCATTGGAGACTTTGTTGTTACTGTGTTTGGCATATCAAATACATCACGGGGGCTTGCCAGGCTCTGCCGTGCGGGCGAGATGCTCTCGGTAGCTTGCCGGGCTCTCCGAGAGTGAGAATGAATCCACCTCTATCTGCCAGAAACTTAATTCCCTCTCTTGCTGTCAAACCCATACTTTGACATGGGCTCCAGCCCCTGTGTCATAGACACACACACACACACACACACAGTTGTTAAACTAAAAAACAAACTAGGAAGAAGAAGCTGAACAGACCCTTTCCCACAGAAGATCAACAGGTATATTGAAAAAGTGTGCTTCATCACCCATTGTCAGAGAAAGGCAACTCAAGATGAAAATGAGAAATTCCGTTGCACCAGCATGATTGGTATACATCAAAAACTGGAAAATGAGAAATTCCATTGCACCAGCATGATTGGTATACATCAAAAACTGGAAGCTTCATGTGCTGGTGGGGATGTGACGAGAAAGAAGCACAACTGTGCGAATATCCCTGCTTCAGCGTCTGCAAAACAGTATGCAGGCTTGTCAACAACTTAAGAATTTAGCTTCTGTATAAGCCAGTGATTCCATTTCTTGGCGTTTACCCCAAGAGCACAAAAATATTAACTAAAAGAGGTGTTGAGCATTGCAGCATTATTCACAGTTGCCAAGATCTGGAAACAATCCAAGTTCCTAAGAACAGCTGAGTGAGTAAAGAAACTGTGGTATATATACACAATGGGACAGTGCTCAGCTCTAAGAAGAGATAAAATCCTATAGTTGGCTTAACTTGGGTGAAACTGGAGGGTGGTAAGGGAAGTGAGCCAATGGAAGAAGCATAAACACAGTAATTTTGCTTATAGGTGGTGTATAAAGAAATATGGTAAAGGGAAAATTTTTTAAAGGAACAATGGTCAATAATAACAGACCCAGAGAGTTGGCCTGGATGGTGGGGACAGCTTTTGGGAAAGGGAAGGGGGATCAAGAGACAATGAAACTCTGCCTGTGACTAGTGTAGCAAAGTCACATTCCTGAGCTTTAATATTAACAGCATTGTGAATCACAGACCCTACATTTTTCAAATTAAATGTAGAAACCAATAGGATCAATCTTTATATATCTATAACCCAAATTTTTTTTAAAAAATTAAGTTTATTTTTAGAGTTTAATACTTTTTAAAGTTTTCAGAACTTCTGTTCTTGGGAAATTAAAAAAATTATTTGTTCAACTATACCTACTGCAGCCCTGGAGTCTTCTACTTCATTGTGTTAGTGCTAATTGGGAGCATATTAAACATGAAGTGTACTTCTTTTTTCAAACCTTTGGTTAGTATCTATGAAGAAAGCACACATAACACTATATTTTTAAAAGTTATTATTGCATTAGTATTAGGATTTAAATTTTTAAGCAATGCTCATAATACTTATTAATTATATTACTTTTTAAAACTATATTAATCATATTATATAATTATTAATTATATATTAATTATTATAATATATGTATAATATATAATGTCATTATACATTATACATTAATGTTATATATAAATTATATATTATGTATTATATAATTATAATTATTAATTATGTTACTTTTTTCCATGGAAAAATAATGATAGGTCTGTTCTGTTTATTATTTAGAGGTGTGTAAGTAACCCTGCATACGTAAAAGAACTTAGTTTCCTTAACATTTTCTATAATATATGGTACAAATAATTATTACTTTCATATGCAAATATAATTTTCCTAATATCATAAAATATTTATTTTTCTTCAGTGCCACTTGCTTTACTGGATGCATCAGAACTTCAAAAGAATTTTATAGAACGTATCTCCTTCACACATCAATATGATTCCAGGAAAACACCCAATGAGCCTCTCTGGGGGAAGGTGAGTAGGATTTTAACTCAATCATTTCATACTTTAGGATAGGAGAGGATATGGTCAAACTTTAAGTCTTTTCAAGTCATAATTTTTCTAAAAGTGCACACATAGTTGTTAGAAGGATAAAATCTCAGCCACAAATTAGAACCAAAACTCAGATGTGATGATATAACTCTGGTTCACAGTCTTGGGATATTGGTTTAAATTATGAAAAGAATTTACTTAAGGCTGCCAGGAGGACCCCTGAGCATCACCGGGTGTGACCAAAAAAAAGAAAAAGAATTTACTTAAGGTAAATAGAAAAGTGGTTTTGATGTAATTGTGTGTTGTGTGTGGTTGTGTGTGTGTTTGTATGATGTATGGAAGGTGTATAGAAGTCTTACCACAGTCAAATAGAAATGTAATCCTTGCTACATTTTTTCCAAATAGAGATGTTTGTTTTCGTATTTCATAATCAAATGTTCTGTTGCAACTAATAGATCTTAGCCTATATTATATTCTTGATGAACTGTAGTTTCTGTTATATTCATAGCAATCAATAGAGCAAGAAAACATTGATTGGCAAGTTTTAGATGACTGAAAAGTTAAAAACAGGAGAAAGTGAGCTGTCTTTTTTATTTTCTTCCTATTCCTTTCCTTTCATTCTCTGATTCACCTTATACTACAATCTGTTTTACAGGTTCAATCATAATGATGTTGCTCTCTTGAGGTTTGGAGTAAGGTAGCAGAGAGCAGAGGTGGTAGGTTTGAGATGTTCGTAGTCTGCATCTTCCAGTAATTTAAGTTCCCTTGTTAAGGCCCACTTCGTTTTCCTCTGCAGCGACATGGAGCTTTCGTGCAGACAGAGATCAAGGCAAGGAACAGATCAACAGCTCCCAAGGGAACAGAAGGTTTACTGCCGGCTGCAGAGACAGGCTCATCAGAACAGCTCCCTGAAACAGAAAGAAAACTGAGTGGAGAGCAAAAAACCGGAGAGCAAAAGCTCACAAGTCTCTGCTGACGTAAGTCCCAAGGCTCTTTGGAGACAAAATCTCATTTATCAGAAGCAGACTTGAGAGGCAGCCATGGTGGGGGAGAAGATGGCTGAGACCTTCCCAACAAACGGAGCAACCCTTTCAACCCACCAATCAAAGCTCAGGGTAAACCAAGAACAGTGTCATTCTTCCCGATAAAAACATACATCTGGGAATATGAAAAACTGCAGAATCATCACAGTTGTTTTTGCTGTTATCAGTAACTTCTGGAAATAAGATTTACATTAATGTGAAAATAGACAACTAAGATATAATAACATTTTGGTTGTGTTTTTCAATGTGTAATGGATTATGCGCCCTATACCTAAGTAATAGTATTTATAAACATAACAACAGACTTAGTCTTGTACAACAATGACATAATTGCAAAGACTTTTAAACTTTTAGAGAAGATGTCCTGTTAGAGCATCATGAGTTTTAGACCTGGAATCTAACAGGATGCAATTTTCACTCCGTTGCACAAGTTGTGTAATCTTGAGTAAATTACTTAATCTTTCTACAGAAAGTTTCTGCAGGAAGTTTTACTTTCTTCATCTGTAAAATTATAGTAATAGTCACTTCATAACGTTATTGAGAATAAAATTATGCACGAAAATAATTGTTAATGACATCCAGCCCTGGAGTTCATTATCAATTGAAAAATGTGACAATTCCTTTAATAACGTATCATAATGTAAATATGATCATAACATAAACTTAAATTTCTTCCTTATGCTAAAAATTTAAACTCCTCTCTGTGTCATTAAGGCAAATATCTCAAAATATTTTTTTCTGGTAAAAGGTAATCTCTCTTTTTCTCGACCTCTCCCTCCCTCCTCAATCTCGAGATTTTTAAAAAATTCATTGTTAATGATTTTTTCCTTTTGACTTAATTTCTAGCACAAGCTCAACTTCTCTTTTTGGATTAATGTGACACTGTTAATTTGATACCATTAGTCTTATAGTGTTAATCCTTCCAGCTATTCTATTTGGTGCATTCGATGCCTCAAAATACACAAACAAGGCAGGTCTGAGATCTGCTCATATCAGCAGGCACTTTTATCTCTGCCTGAAGCTACAGACATGCACTAGTGGAACAGGCCAGTTTGGAATGTAAATTTACATCAGATTTCTCCTAGGACACAAAATGAACAAATCTTAACCCTGATGGTGACTCCAGGGAGGATGATGAGGAACTTCTCAAATGTAAACGTTCCCTGGGGGAAGAGATACCCATGGACAATAGGAAAAAACAGCCTTGAGAAAAACAAGGTTACAAAAATTACAAAGAACAAAAAGAAAATCAAACCCCTCAAGAGCCAATAGTAGACAAAGAGAATAATAAAAATAATAATTAAAACTGGAGACAAGAGCATTAGAATACTTTATATTTGTGGATTATCTCTTCTACTATGAATTTTTAATTATAATCTTTTCTGATATTACTATGTATATATATATAGTCCGGCAAGCTACTGAAAATATCTCGCCCGCATGGCAAAGCCTGGCTTGCTACCCGTGATGTATTCGATATGCCAAACACAGTAACAAGCGTCACAATGGAGATGTTACTGGGCCAGCTTGAGCAAATCGGTGAACAACGAAGGACAGTGACAGTGACAGTGACCTTATATTTAATTCTCCTCTCCATCCATCAGAAACAGCTACTACTAAATAATAGAATAGTTGTATCTGTCTTCTATGTCTCTCTTGGTATTATACTTGGTATTATACTTGGTATTATACTCTCTTGGTATTATACTTGAATCAGGTATTTGTAAATTCTTGTTTTACATACCCTAGGAAATGTTGAGATCCAGATCAGTGTATAAACTGTTCTCTGTTCTACAGCTGAGCTTTAGGACAGAGTCAGGATGTGCAGTCAGATGAAATTGAGAGTTATTGCTTTAATGGGTTCTTCATCATCCTGGGGGACCAGGCGCTGATCTGATCTTCTTGCCTCAACATCTGATTCAGTTCATACTATAAGCCCACTGCTTAGCACAAGCAGGACAAGGCAAAGTTGATTTCCTGGTCCTTGTGCAGTTCATTTGTTCAGATTCATAGGGTAACAGGAGTCCTTTTACTTCTCAGTACCTACTCACTCCGCTTAGGATCTTTCCAGACCTACATTCCCAGAAGCCATCTCTGCACAGCGGGACTTTTGTTTCATTCAATTTTGTTTCTCCAAGCACTTGTTCTCTGGTAAATTTTCAGAATAAAAATACACACCTTCTGAAAGTAAGTTTTCTGATTCCACTAGGTAATATTTTATTATCTGTTGCTCTTTACATGTGTCCTAGTGAGATTTGGTGAGCAGGAAGTGAGAGGTTTATGTGATTAGTCTGCTGTTTCATAAATAAATTGCAAACCTAGTACTTTAACTTTAGTAAATAAACTGAAGTAATAAATACTTAATTATCTATTAATAATTTAGTAAGTAGACTAAAGTAAATAAATGAACTGAGTACTTTAGTAAATAAACTCTTCAGTTAGTCTAATGGTTGACTGACAGACATTGAGGGTTGAAATAATCCCTCTTAAGAAATATGTTTTAGTGAGTGAGTGAGAGAAAGTGAGAGAGAGAGAGAGGGTGAAGGGGAAGGCAGTTAATGGGCCATTTCCATAGATTCAGTTGGTTGTTCTCAGTTTATTCAAATATTATGACATCCTTCCTGTATTATAAAGTTTATGGCTCCTCACAGAACAATAGTTGAATTTTCAAAATCCATAATTTGGGAAAATTTATAGTAATAAAATGTAGTTATGGTTTCCAGGTTTAATTTTTTATTTTTTAACTATATACCATGTGGTTCTCTACAGCATAGTCCATTAAAGTAATAAGTGCCTGTGAGTTTAGAGACAAATAGTCTCTAAAATTTATAAAAAATCTTTCCAAGTAGTTTCCTTATTAACTGTTTTCATGGAACAATGTTTGCCAGGATACAGAACTCCCCCACGCCCAAGTCTATTAAAACAAACAAACAAAAATAGTATGTGTGTGGGGGGTGAGGGGGGCTTATAGGGCCACATTTGGCAGTGCTGAGGATTTACTCCTGGCCCTGTACTCAGGTATCATTCCTGATGGTTGGTACTCAGGGAACCATGTGCAGTACCAGAGATAGAACCTAGGTCAGCCACATGCACGGCAAGTGCCTTATCCACTGTACTATTTATGCCTTTTTACTTAATTTCTGCCACCCATTCTATCTGTCAATGTTTTAAAATATCTTAATAAATGCAATCAATGATTTTGAACTTCAAATGGCTTGTAGACTCTATTTGTATGAACCAGCCCTTGTATGAACTTATATGAACTAGTTAAAAGATGAACCACCCCTTTGAGGTAGATAAATTACAGAGAATAAGAGTAAAATATATGACTTTACAAGGAAAACTTTAAGTTTACAAGGAAAACTTTTAAGTTAACTAACTTGCCCAAGATTATAGAGGTAGTAAGTGGAAAATCAAGCACATACATTCTACTTGAGAGTCCATGGTTTTAATAACTCAGTAAAAGAATTAGTGTCTCCATCCATGCCTCTGAACCTCAAAGTCACCATCCAGTTGGAAAAAGAAATTAAGTTAACCTCAGCTGTATAATTTAAAATTTTAGAATTACTGGAGCACCTGGCTGCCTTTGTGACCTTGTAACTCTCATATACTACACCACTGATACACCAAGAGTAGCACACCACATTTGATAAGGCGTAAAGTAGAAGGCAACCCATCTTGGGGAAAAAACTATATATATATATATATATATATATACATATATATACATACGTATACATATATATGTGCACACAAGGCTTAGCCTTTAATAACATGTTAGTAATCTCTTATGCAGTGGCTTAATAGCTTCAGGATGAAATACAACAATCTTCACACACTTTCCACTAAGGAAACTTTTTTCGATCATTTTCAGCAGATTTTTTATAATAAGCAATAGAAAATAAATTATTTTACTCTTTAGGTCCTGATTTGGGGCAGGACTAGGGGTTGGGATGGAAACATTTGAAATATGGTGGTGGGAAGGTGTAATGGTGGTGGGATTGGTGTTGGAATATTAAATGTAATAGATCATTGTGAACAACTTTATAAAAATAAAAATATTTTTAAAAAGAATTAGTGTCTTAATGCTCTTTACTGAAATCACTTTAATAAGTAACTTTATTTTTAATGTTTGAAACAAACACCATGACCTACAAAGATATTGATAATACAGCTGTTTCAGGGATTCAGTGTTTCAACACCAGTTGTACTTCAAAGAGTGATAATAAGCCTAGCTGGAGGTTGGAGGTAAACAGCAAAGGAGGGCAAGTCTGTCAACCATCTCGATTAGCCTGTGTGTTCACTCCAAAAATGTTCTTTTATGATAGGATTCCAATCTTCGTTTCTAGAGAACTTTTGCCCCTTATAGTGTTTTGTTTCTTAAAGAAAATATTTGATAATTTTATGTCAGCCCCATTATGTGCCACAGCCCCCTCCTTCCCCCCCCCCCCCCCCCCCCCCCCGTCTCCCTACCCTCCCACACACCCCTCTCCTCTCTCCTCCTTCCAAAGCCCAGACACTTCTGGTCAACTTCCTGCTCTGTGAAATCACAAAGGCTGGAAACTATTGATACAGCTATTGTGCAAGAAACGTTTTCTTTTGAAAAAGCACATTTACAAGGCTGATTACTACTGTGTCGTATGAAAAGTATATTAACTGGTGTTAGGATATTTTGTTATTTTGTTGGTTACCTCAATTTTCTATGAAAGAAAGAGGGACTGTGTGTATCTTAGAAATTCTCCTAGAAGCATGCATGCCACAGCTAAGGGAATGCCATTAAGCCAAACTGTGAAAAGAACAGTAAAAATCTTTCTAGGACAGAATTTCATTTCTAACTTACTAAGACTAATGTAGAAAGTGCTTTTGATCAGTATCAAAATGATCTATAACATTTCAGCCAGGATGGCAGATTCCAGAGGTTTTTGTTACATGCCTAAAGATGAATAACCACATTGAACATTTGCAGAAAGAACAATTTTTGTAAGAAGATATTTTAAAGCATATTTTAGGTAATTTCCTA